GACTCCCAACAAGTTGGTGCAGTCGAAACAATCGTCCAATCAAGCTCAAGAAGATCAGCCCACAACGCAATTCAAGTTGAGGGGAACCACTCAAAGCAAAGGGCGAAACTAATATAAAAGGAAGGCACTGGAATAAACAACGTATTCAACGGGACGCAGACCACAACTCAACAAGGACCTGAAACAGACCAATTAATTCATTAAAAGGATGTATCTCAATTAGCTAATCAAGGTAAGAGATAACAGGTAATCTTTAAAGGGCAAATAAATGAACGCAGGTAAAGGGGGTGCACCCGCGTAACTATGTACCGATAATTTTCTCTCGTCAGTTGCCAAGCTCACCAAGAAGACCAACAGCCAGTCGATCAGCAACCAGTAGCCATGATACTCAGGACAGTGGATCTCCGAAGTCTAAACGAAGCACGCTCGTACATATTTATGGGACCCTGGAGTGCTTACTAGCCTTTATGCTAGAAGGGTTTGTAGACACGGATAATTAAAGTAGTGTCGTATTTAAAGCAGTTCTTCATTTTATCGACTCACAATCATCCAAAGATATCCACGGGTCGACTAACTGTGACCAAATGTAATTGGTTTCAGGATTGATTTCTGTCCGACAACCACAGTGTTATCAAATCATTTTGCGCAGTTTTGATGCAAAACGCCAGTGCTATCACATCAACGTAATCTGTCACAATATGTCATCTTAACCAGACCTAAACGATAGGCACAGATTCTACTAGTGACGTTTCGAAGGCTATCATACAACCTTGGCTACTACCACAGTAATGACGTAACAAAAGCAACATTTTCAACTTCAGAAGCGTAAAAATCAACAAATTTTTTACGACAAAATGCGTAGGCCAAAATATTCTTCAACAATTTTCCAAACTTTGAGCCACCTGGTAATGCGAAATGCCATATTCAGCCTGTCCTCATGTTGGACAGATCTCTTGGTCCAGATTTCAGTATCATGTATGTATAGTCAGTTTGTCGGTGTTGTCAGCTTTTGAACCTGATTAGGTTGTCGAACACCCTTTGATAGTTCAAAGATGCATATCAGCACACATGAACAGAAAACGGTCCTAGCGAAAGTGGCGATTCCAGATGCTGATGAAACCTCTTTGGCAACCCCTCACCGTTTTCACCTTTTTCGGACGGATCATCCACGAGTTTCTGTCAAGTTTATAGTCATCAAACGCCGTGGAATACGCTCACTTGCAAATCACGTTAATATTAAACTGGTGAACTGTCGCGGTGTTTACAGCTATCCTGTGGATAGAGTACTCCGGCATTACGAACTAAACCTGAAAAAGCCTTTTTCAGCACCTACAGTCTGAATTCGGTTAAGTCTCCCGTCTCAATTCGCAAATTGGAATACTTCATCAATATCCTTAGTCCTTTTGTTTATAAGTGGCATGCGAGCTATGAAGCAACTCCACGGCAAATACAGGACCTACGGTTTGCTGAATTCACCATCTCTAAGACCTGTTCCCATAGTAATGTGGTGAGCCAGATATATTCATAGGTGTTTCAACACGCATGAAGCCAATGACAGAAGCAGGCATTCAGCTATTTTTAATGGCCTGTACCTGTCTTCAAAATGAAGCTATTGTTGTCGAGTCGGTTTAGAATTTAATAAAGAATTATGAACAGCTATTCACCGATAGCTTGTCCAAACGAGTGTTTAACGGTTGAAGAAATGACGATCATTTTGGTCATTTTATAATCAAAGTTACATTGGAATGTCTACGTTACATAACCAGAGAGTAGCTCTGGAATTTAAGATCAAACTAAACCACCCTGACTGACTGCCACAATATTTAGGTCACATTGTGGCTCAGATGCATACCAGGTGTTGAACGGGCTATGCGAGTTTTGTTGCAGATCTACCGACGTAGTCAGGGTAATGTGACCTGACATATGCTTGTACTAATTACTATGATAGTTAGTTATTGGTTATCTTTCATGATAATGTTTGAAATTGAAAGGAACATCTACCTAATGCTTCCTGAAATCCATCCATGAAACCATGTAGCTCGGGTCACACTGATGAGGGTAGACTGATGGCGCATTTTAAGTGCTCTTTGCAATACCTAGGGAATTATCATAAACTAACGCATCCTTTTACAGTTAGCCCCGAAGAGAAGCCTATATGAAGGAAGGCTAGTCACAAGTGCGCCCTCGCAACCAGCGCTAGTTGGACAGAGTAAAGAGGAGGCCACCACTCACCAAGCTACCAAAATTAACCAATGTTGTTTATTATTATTTTTTAGGGGTTGTAGCCAAATCGAAGAGACAGAATGCGTTTTCCCAAACTCCGAGTGGAGTGCTGTCGGCCAAAGCACTCCAACAGAGAGCCCATGGGCTGGGAGCGACGAGTAAGCACTTCATTTTTATCCATTAATACCTGTTATGCTCTATTACACAAGGGTGTCATCCGGGTTATTGCTGCTCAAAAAGTTTTGCATTTCTATCTCCAAGGCACCCTCGTTTGACCGCAATAAGAATATTATGAGTTATGCGGAAATTTCAACATCATCTGGAAACCAGCCAACTCAGACCCCGAAAACATGTTAACGTCCACAATTTTTAACCTCTTCCCTCTCAGCTTGTAACTGCCTGTAGAATACACGACATATTCCATGGCGCCCAAGTGAACAACGCGCAAAATCACAAGCCAAGAATGATGAAATCTCGAGAGTTGTCAACAGAATGAGGTACTACACGTACAAATGTGTATATGAAAGGGATTTCCTTCTAATTGCTGCACGAATTGGTGCAAGCCCATGGAAAGCCCCGCAAGACGGGGCAGCTAGATGTAAATTACCGAGAAACGTGCGCCCACAGAACGTGGTCACAAAATGGGTCATCAGTATTGGTTCGACATGTTAAGAGTAAAAAGTCAATGAGGATGAATATTGAATACATGGGATAGGCGCGGAAAACGGCGAGTACACGGGTTTGACCAGGAGAGAAGATGTACACTTCCAGTGCACTTTTTATGAGAGATACCAAACTTCTCATAAGCCCATCAGAGAAATCTACGAACTGCTGCATTTGACTAGCGTGCTGTGTTTGTCAAGCAGACAAGAATTCAGGATGTGCTGAAGTGACAATCCTGCAAGACGTGGTGAACCTCTACTGGGGAAAGATGAGTAGTGCTCAAAAGAAAACTTGACTTGTTGTTCGGTTTATACCACAAGGTAATGCGGCAGTCAGACGAAGCAAGATAACTCAGCTAAGTGAGGAGTGGCACTGGAATAACTCAAAACAAAACCTTTTGCGAAGAATGGATTTCTCAATGGAAGTTGCAGAGCAGGTTCGACCTTGATCTTAAATCTAAGATGCCATATTTACCACTTGACTAAGGTACATAGTGAAGCCGACAACTGCAACCGGTGTAAGCACAATTCCGTTCAACTTTAGATGTACGTATGTCCATCCAGTTGAACTATATTTGTTCGGTGGCTTTTATAATGCTATACTGAGTGATGATGTTGACGATGCTATTGATGAGGAGGATAGTGATGATGGTGACGATGAAGAGGAGGAAGGGGAGAAGGAGGAAGTGGGCATGAATGGGAATGAAGATAGGAACCATGCTGCTGCTGAGGATAAAAAGAGTAGTGTTGACATGGGAATGAAGATAGGAACCATGCTGCTGTTGAGGAGGGCTAAGGTTATTGTCGAAGTTCAAGATGGTGAGGGTCAAGTTGATCACAATCATGATCATCAACCGAACAATACAGAGAGAACAAGAAGGTTAATGGATGTCGACATTTTACTTTTGCGTCTGCAGACGTAATATTAAAAACCATCAATTTAAAATAACAAATCGGGGGAAGTAGAAAAGTGGAAGGGAACCAACCGTATGGCGTTTCTATCGGGTGCGGTTTTTGAGTCCAAAGCAAGCTGATAGTTTGTGTCAGGTTCTTTGATGCACACAAGCTGGATTAACCAACATGGCCTCACTAAAAGCCAACAATTTCCAGGCGGCTTTGGGCAGTGAAATCCCGAACTCTGCACTAGGAAAAACTATTTGTGCACAGGAGATGATTGACGAGACAGGCTTTCTGGCCTCAGCTTGCGGTCAATCAAGTGGTGATCTGACTAGGGGCAAACATCCTGAAATGCGTTTGCATAGGCTCCTATCTATTCAGGATCGCGTGTCAAAACGATTGCCCCGTTATCTGGTCAACCAATTGCCCGCAAGATTGGGCTCGAAAACTTGCCTCATCGATCGCCCAGTACACACTATCCATGGAACGAAAAAGCTGACTCAGCGTTCAGAAATTTAATGTTCTATGTCCACTCCAAATAATGAGCCTTTAGTTGGGCCATGTTGACTAGTCACTATTGACCTAGTGTTTGCTTGAGAAAGACCCTGAAATAAGCTATTAGCTTGCCTTAGATTTGAGCGCCAGACCCGATTGGACCACCATACGAGTGGCTCAGTTCAACTATCCTACTGCTATTTATCTTTATTTTTTATGCTAAGCTGATGGCTTTTGGTATTGCCTCTGAAAACTTACAGGCGAAATGTCATTTGACTAGATGAAAGGGACCTAATTTTTCAGACATCTCAAAAGATGATGACGCTGACGATTAAAGAGATGATACTGGGCGACTTCAAAGAATCTTTTGCCTGCAGTAGGCTAGGGGAACATTCATCTGTGTCAAGTAAAGGAGTATATACGTTCCAAAACAAAGTAGAACGCAATGGTTCATATATATATTCTCATCAAATGATGATATCTTTTGTACTAAGCAGGCCAGTGGGACGGGTCAGTTTTCGGTCTCATTGCTAATATTATTGAGGACCCACTGGACACATTAGCAGTCCTAGTGCAAAAAAAGGGGTTAAATTTCGAGCAACGTCTTCCGTGAGGCAATTGTCCACTTTTATCGTGTCTATTAGTTAATATCAGTAATAATAATAATGCTGTACTGACAGAGGAAAGTCGAAATTTGCTTTTTTCCGGTTAGAAGAAACTCACAATTCGTTGACACTTAGGTCATCATTTAAATCACTTTCCAAAATGGTTATGGTACAATATTTTCGCAGGTACGAGCGTGGTTCCGGACACCGGCCAATATTCAAATACTCCTCATTGTCACCGCCATCATCTTGGCCATTTTGATTGGAGGCTTGATTCGACATCTTGTACCCAATCTCACGACGCGGACAGCCATGCTGGTAGGATTTCCGGGAGAACTGCTGATGAACATGTTGAAGATGCTAGTCATTCCTCTGATCACCTCCACTTTAATAAGTGGTACGTCATCTGGTTGAACTCTACTGGTGTATTTTTAAATTCATCCCTTCGTTTTACTAATCTCTATTTGAATTACTTTGAGATCGCGAGAAATCAGTCGAGCTGACACGTGTTTTGTGTAGGTGGTACGTCATCTGGTTGAACTCTACTGGTGTATTTTTAAATTCATCCCTTCGTTTTACTAATCTCTATTTGAATTACTTTGAGATCGCGAGAAATCAGTCGAGCTGACACGTGGTTTTGTGTAGTTATCAGGTAGAGGAGTCATCAACAGAAGTGGCTTAGATCTGAAGCGCACTCGCTCTCACCCTCAAATGAATTGTCCTAGCACTTGCAGTCTTACACAAACCCGTGGCCCCCAAAGTGGCATTTTGAACCAGAAGATCAAGGAACCAAACTCAATGAAAGACAAATCGACATGTTCCCAACGCATCAACCACACTAAGCGATAAGACCCTTTAAATGACATTAATCACTGATCTAGTGTGCTAATCGGCAGAGGTCTTGTTGATTGGTTCTTTGTCTTCCTTAAAACCTGGCCAGTTCGGTTCACTTGGCCTGATGCTGCCCTTGTATAAGAAGCAAAGCATTGCCTATTTATAAAACAACCGATTGTTTACGAAACCCGTCCGAAACGACAACTTTTCAATCGCTTCCAAACTTTCCCGACTGATGGAAGACTTCAAGACTTTGTCTACTTTCAGTTGATACCGTCAACTTCTCGGGAGTACACTCTCGAAATCTTTGTAACAGTAACGGTAGTAGCTATCTGTCCCACTTCCTGCAGCTAAACGGTCTATTTCTTGAGGCATAAGAACGCAAATATAGAGGGACCGAGACAGAGAGACAATCGAGTTACAAAAAAATCGACGCATCCATCCAATATGGAGTGATCGATTGTAACTGGTTCCGTCAGCGATGACTTTGAGCTGACATCTCCCCAAGCAGAGGAGCTCATCTTGATGCCTGAATAGCAGGAAACATCACCCCAAGCAGAGGAGCTCATCTTGATGCCTGAATCTCAAGCAGGAACTATGGAAATTCCCTACCACCAAGAACACTTTTGTGGAATGCATGCTGTGTGTCCTTGTTTGGAGGTTGTGTGAAAAGTTTTTTCTACAAATGGAGCATTTATCCTGTGTGGTCTTGTGCTTGTTTCACCAGAGCTAAATAATTATACCATCGTCTCGATGTACTCAACACATTTTTGTTTGCTCTTTCTAACGGTCTAATGAAGGGAAAATTCACTCTACACTGAGTACTATTTTTCGAGAAGCCACTCTACCAGTATCTGTTGGAGGATAGTTCTACTAGCATTATATTTGTTTCGTAAAGTCACGTGTCCAGACTCGCTTCACTGACGATGTTAAAGACTCGATTGAAAAGGTATGCTAGAACCAGCAATCTGAATAACACAGTGATAGTCACGGCAAGTAAACTGTCCAAAGCATGACCCCATTGGATTGCTTACTCAGGGAACAAGTCAAGGTGGATCTGGTTAGTTTTTATATGTTACCCGCCTCAAGAACCGTCACCATGTTTTCCAATGAAAGTGACATGTGATTTCAAATTCAAGTTGTCGGATTATTTCAGTCATGAAAATGATTATCACATCACAGTGCGTCCAACCCTTCACTCTATATTCCAAAACGATGAGGGTTGACATGCATACTGCGACAACCGGTCTCATCCTTGAAATTGTGACCACTCGATCAATTCTAAGAATTTCCCAAATCGCTGTTGGTCTTGTTCGGGGAGAAGTACATTAGCTAGCTGCTCTTGAGCTTCAATAAGGTTTAGTCACAGCAGGCCCACATTCAGCACAAACTGCTTTCGGAGTTATCAGAATGTTCGATCGCATCTGCGTGATCTACTTGGTAGAGTACTTAAACTCATTTCTGCAAGTAGCGTCTTGGAGAGAGCGTACAATTTCTGTAGCAATCTGAGGCTTTTTCACCTGTTTACTCGACACCGGTGTGCGGTTTTACCCTTCCACCTTCCTCCTACTCTCCACGGTGCACTACCAAGATATCCACCTTTCTCACTTCACTGATGAACTGACGAGTTCCCAACAAAATGTGTGACGACGCTGTCCTAGCAAGCCAGGTAATTGGGTGTGCATGCCACAACCGGTGAACACGGACCACTGTGTGCATCGTGAGCCGGGGTTAACCTAAACCATCCAGTGATTTGTGTCCTGAAGTGAACGCCATACGGGGGTTCTATCCGCGTTGATAGGATTACCAGTCCTTTTGAGAAAGAGGAAGCTTCTCTAAGGAGGACCATAGTATATGGGGTAATTGGTGGAACGTTTTGTCTTCACTCATCACTGCTATGCAATAATTTCGATGGATAAACAGTTAAACCACTTGCTTTCTGTGAAATCAGGGGCATACATGTTCGAAGCAGCATTTTTAGTAAACCGTTTTCTAGTTCTACTTCTGTTTTATTTTCTGGGTAGTCGTACCAGGTTCAGTTGTTTTTCATTGGCAAAACAGTTTGGCATACATATTGCTTCACGTTGTGTCTGTTGGCGAATTCATGGCATTATTTTTCTGGCCGACCTCGACGAGTGGTTTGAAGAGAGAAGACTGAACAAGAGTCTCCTCGGTGGTTTAGGTCTTTGGTGAGGCTTCCAAAAAGACCGATAAACATTTCGCATTTTTTCTGCTTATGCCCCAGGAGAATTTGGCAGTGAGTTTGTCAAAGACGGTTTCTGTAGCACTCTAGGTAATTTCCCACGGCGGAGTAAAAATTCCGCACCGATGAAAGTGCAGTTAGGTGGGCTTAACGTTTCTGAATCCAAAGTTGATGATCATCTGGGAGTAGACATGGGGCACACAAAAAACACAGTGTCCGCAGCAGTTGCGCGATGATCATAGTTTGTTTTTCTGCAACACCAGTTTTGGAAAAACAGAAGTCGCTTGACCGCGTGGAGTCCGGGAACCTAAAAAGATCGCTTTGCTATCAGTTAGCAGTGGTGCGAAACGAACAATACCAGCTGTTGATTCTCGAACACCTGCGTGAAAGCTAATGATGTGCTTGTCCGTTACTTCCTTCTACTACAGTCTTCAGTTTTGCACAAAGTATGCTCACCCGGCTTGGTCACTGAAAATCTCTTGGATCCCAAAATCATGCAAGTGCATCGGAACTGACCCCCTCAGGGCTTGCATTCTGACCCGATATTGAATTTATCCCTCATTACCGGTCTCTTCAAAGTGTTTGATCTCTGAAAGGACTGTGATTTTGCTTGAAGTTCGGCAAAAGATCTCTTCTAGTCGTAGCAACAACCCAACTCGGCGCATTTTCTGACCCTAGTTAAAACCGATTGTCCGTGCGGACCCGGTGGATTCAGGAAGCCAAAGAGGTGGGCAGGAGCAAAAAAATAAGCGATTAGTCCACCCACTTATTTACAAAGGTCTTCGGAGGCAATAGGAAGCAAGTACGTCCTTCATATCAAGTAGAGCAGAACGGTTTGACTGTTGATTATAGTAACGCTTAATTTGTTCACCCGCTAGTTTCCATCCGGGTTAACGGCTTGTCACAGGAACATGGACCGCGAATAGGAACCCCCTTTATCCTCAAAAGTGCTCGAGCGTATGTCCTTGCTCAACTGTCATCGTGTACCTGGTCCCGATGAGCTTTCGCCTACCCTGCTGAGTGGGGGCGATGAAGTCAGTCAGTGATAGGCTTTGAGAAACAGATTGTCTCAGCTAATCACGTTGGGTCAACAGTCTCAGTCCTAAAACGGGGTACCCGCAGTAAATGTAGTAACCACAACCGCATTACTCAATTCATAACAAAGCTTTTGACGTCACTGGTTCTTTGCCTTCTCAAGGCGGCCCGTGCAAACTTGCTCCGAACACACCAAGCGGTATTTTGACGGAATATGGTTATAAATCCACGTCCTAGCACTCAGTCATGTATTATAGCAACACCTCTGTATAGAGGACCCAGAATCTTAAGGTGCCTTAACTTCACACCGCTGTCAGTGCTTCCAACTGGTCTCGCTCATTTGGTGAAGCTATGCACCTTCGTGAACGCTATTCGGTCCTCATATTAACTGGTTTATGGGAGTATGATGAATCCTCTAAGAGCTTTCCTGCAAAAGTGGTGGCCAACAAGGGGGTCGACCCCATCTATTTTAGTTCATCCATGAAATACGCAGTGGAACATTTGGAGGTTTTCAGAGCTCTAGTGTTCAAATCTTTGCCGATGATCTTGCGTGTGCTACCGACATCATTTCAATTTTGAGGACTGAAGTCTTTTGAAAAAAGATGTCTTTTGATAATTGCCTTGCAACCATAAAGTGCAAAGTTATGCTTCGGAATTTGGAGTCCGTGAACATTTCGCTTACAATTCAAAGAGCGACACTAAAGGGATTGAAAGATCCTACATACTAAGATGTTTGTAATAGCTCCGACGAAACTGTGGCTGATGGGGTTGAAGAATGATGAACGAATATTCGAGGCCTAACAAACTCACACTTGTATTGTGTTACATGCCCTTGAAAGTCAGTAGTTGCTACATCACTGTGATATTGTAAGACATGCAAGAAAATAATTTGAGATGTTTTGAGCCATGTGGCTACGGAAATATCAGAGACGTTGCTGGAATTCGAGAGTGTTGACGAAATCGGAACTCTATGACCGGAAAACTGGTGTCTGTTTGTGCAATTGGTGACTTCAATCGCGCACACCAGTAAGTAGCGCTGCCTGAAGCAACTCCGTCATGTGGTACACAGTCACACGACGGTTTACTGGGACGATATTGTCGATACCTTCTTGGTAATAACGCAACCTACGGAATAATTTGACACGAGGAGTTTCTGTATTATTGGTGCTATCTGCCCTGCAGGATGGGGACTTCCATTTGGTTGGAAACT